TGGCAATCCCTTCCTCCAACCCCACAAACTTGCAAAGTAGCTAAAGCAGGGATTATTGCTTTTATCTGTGTTGATATTTTTTAAATTGCTAAAAGTTTTAAATCGCTAAAACTTTACCTACATCAATATTTTTGGCTCGCTTGCCTACTTTCCTTTATAACTTTAATTTAAAAATTTTTTATGTCAATATAGTTTTGTACAGTGTTATCTTTGTGGAAGGAGGAGGCAAGGTGAGTTGGGAGCCAGGTTGGACATAGTATAACTCCTTAGTGGTGCCATTCTGGAGCCCAATCAGAAATACGAACCTAGTTTTTAAAGTGGGGCTTTGGGGAACCATGATGTGCCTCATATTTATTCTTCCCTTTGTAGATGTAGTTCTTCCCTCCTTCCACAATGATCTTGGTTTCTGGAACTACTTGTATGTGTTTTGATGTGAAATTAACTTTTCAGGTTTCTAAGATTATACATTCCAGCATTTGAAATGTAGAGTCTGAGTTGGGAAGGACTGCATTCAAAGAATTATAGTTTTACATAAACCCCATAAGAAGCATGAGACCAAGAAGGAAGATTATGGAAAAGAATTTAGGGGTCGATCGTATGTGTGAAGTGTTGAACTAGTGTTCTAGGGGCCACATTGGCATCACATAATTATAGACCAGAGGTTGATAGACTATTCTGAAAGGGTTAGACTGTGCATATTCTAGGCTTGCCAGCCAGACACTCTCTGTCACAACCACTCAATTTTCTCTTCCATAGTTGTTCAAAATCAACTCTAGCTTAGAGGATAATAACCTGGCTTGGTTTGACCTTACTTTGCCCTTCTACAGTAACTTCTGTAGATTTTGTAGGGTAACTTTGGAAAGTTTTATTGAGTAGTTATGCCTTGAGTAGGACATGAAAGAACATTTAGGATTTGACTAGTGCACAGTGAGCAATTGAATGAAAGGATTAACTAAGCAATTTAGGAGATGTTTAGGAAACATTGAATAAATCAACCTGGCTAATATTTAGACACTTGATTTCTCATTGACTAGATTCCAATTAATAGGGGCATTTCTAAACAGAAAGAATTAAGATAACCTGTCCACTACACTGGGCAACATAGCTATCACTTCCACCAGCATGAAAGGTAGGCATAGTGGATCTTGAGTAAATTGTTCTGCTTCTAACCTACTTCCTGCTCTGACAGAAAGGCAATTACTGATTCTCTAGTGTTAGATTACTTAGGTTTCCTTACTGGATTAATCACTGCGAGCCTCATTTTCCCAATCTGAAAAATGGGGATATTGTTGTATTGGAAATACGAGGATTTAGTGAGATAATCCATGTAAAGTGAACACTTTCCATTACCTCACTACTTATAATAGTAAAAGTTCAGTAAATTGTGGTTATTCTTTTTATAATCTCGGAATTAGATAGAAAATGTTAGTTTTGCTTTGTTGAGATTATTTCCTAAAGTAAATATATGTTTAGACTGGTTTGACTGTTTCACTTTGCATAAATAAATCCATGAGATTTATACAAATCTAGAGATGGTGGAAATAGTTGTCTGCTTCAGTCTTGTCTCTGCAGAACATGTCTCTCCTTGCATTCATTAATCACAAGAGCATAGCCACATAGATAGGTGGTCATAGTTCATACTTGCTGTGTGATTAAAAGTTCCAATGTCATAATAAGACATGGTATGGGAACAAGAACAGACATACAGACCAATGGATTCTAATAGAAAACCCAGATATAAACCCACAGGTTTATGGGCAGCTAATCATTGACAAAGGAGCAAAGAATATACAGTGGAACAAAAATGTTTATTCAACAAATGGTGCTGGAAAGTCTGGGAAGCTATATGCAAAAAAAAAAAAATGAAATTAGATCACTATCTCGCATCATGCACAAAAACCAACTCAAAGTGGATTAAAGACCTAGACATAAGACCAGAAACCATAAAATACCTGGAAGCAAAGATGAGTGAAACACTACATAACGTACACCTCAGTAACATCTTTAAGATACAGTACCCAACACAGCAATAGTGAAGGAAAGGATAAAGGAAAGGACTATATCAAGTTAAAGAGCTTCTGTACAGCAAAAGAGACATTACAAAAAACAGACAGACATCCCACTGACTGGGAAAAATTTTTCTCACACAGTACTAGTGATAAAGGATTGATCACAAAGATATACAAAGAACTGATGAAACTCAACAAAAATAAACAACCCCATCAAAAAATGTTCAGAGGGCTAAAAAGACATGTCTCCAAAGAGGAAATGTAGACGGCCAACAAGCATATGAAAAAATGTTCACCATCATTTGTAATAAGGGAGATGCAAATTAAAACCACAATGAGATACCCACACCAGTAAGAATGGCACATCTTAAAACAACTAGCAACAGCAAATGTTGGTGAGGATGTGGAGAAAAGGGACTCTCCTGCACTACCCAAAAGACACAAAAAACAGTGATTCAAAAAGATACCTGCACCCCCATATTTATTGCTGCTTTATTTACAATAGGAAAGACATGGAATCAACCCAAATGTCCAAAAGCAAATGACTGGATTAAAAAGATTACTCAGCAACCAAAAAAGATAAACTCATGCCTTTTGCAGCAACATGAATGGAGCTGGAAGGGATCATGCTTAGTGAAATAAGCCAGAAAGAAAAAGAGAAATACTGGTGATGGGAAGTCCACGAGGATTGCTGCTGAGATGAAAAAAGCCACAAAATGATGTAAAAAGTAAACTATAATAGTACTAGTAAAGTTACAATGTCAACTTAAAGTAACTCCACGTTAGCAATGGACTAGGTACACAAGCATATCCTCTGGAAGAACAATATACTTCAACCTCAGTCCTCAGAGGCTTCCCACAGATGAAGTCCAAGAAATAGGAGCTAAAAACTGTGATAAAACCCCTCACACTGACACCATGAATGAGACTCAATAGGAATAAGAAACAAACTACAGAATCAGTTTGCAACAAAACTTTTTAGTATTGGATTTAGCAGGTACAAATAATAAAATAAACATTTTTATAAAATACAGGTTTTTTTTTAGATTTATTTATTATTCATATGGAACTGGGGTACAGGCCAGAGATGTGGAAGATGAGAGGCTTCACCAGAGACAGAGTGGGGAGCAGAACAGGCAGATCTACGAAGTACACTGCTGAGGAGAGCAGCGGGCGGGTCAGGAGAGGTCTGCCGCGCCATGTGAGTCACCTCCAGGGCTGGCGGGGATTGAACTCATGTGGAAGTGGCTTTAGCTTCTTAGTGCTATGCTTTAACCCGCTGCACCACCAGGCAGGGCCCAAAATATAGTTTTTAAAAAAACGTAGAAACAATCAGATGTTACGGTTGGCCAGATTTTTTTTTTTTTTTAAAGAACTAGTTGTAGAGGCCCTCCCTGGTGGTGCAATGGGTTAGGATGTAGTACTGCAAGCTAGCTGCAGCTGCTTCAGTGCAAGTTAGATCCCCTGCCCTGGAGATGATCCACATGGTGTGGCAGACTTCTCCTGACCCTCCCCCCACTGTTCCCCTCAGCAGCGTACTTTGTCGATATGCCTGTTCTGCTCCCCACTCTGTCTCCGGTAGATTATCTCATCACCCCTGTACCTCTGGCCTGTGCCCCAGTTCTGTATGCATAAATAAATCTATAAAAAGCAAAACAAAACAACAGTTGTAGTAGTAGGGCATGGGTATTGCTGTGATCTACCAGTGCACACAAAGTTGATTTTTGTTTTTGTTTTTTCTTTTCTTTCATTCAAACATTTTCTGTCCCCAGCACTATTTTAGGCACTGGTAAAGAACACTGTAAACATGGATAAAAGATGATGCTTGTCCTTAGAGCTTATTGTCTACTCTTATCTTTGTTTTCTAGAGATGATAAGTTTGGGGGAGGGTGAAAGCAAAAGACAATGAAAAATACAGACTTAAAAAGTTTTTTTGGCTGCCATTTTATTGCCCATAAATAACCAGATCTATCCTAGTGCGCCAGTAAGCTTTCCTCACCCACACTAAAATATAATGAGTACTTAAGTATTAAGCAGTAGTGCCTACTGTTTTGGAGTTGTCTCATGAGCAAAGTCTTTTGATACTAGGATATCTCTGTATTCAAAACTCCTAACACTGCCCCAAAATTCACTTATGAAAAGATTAGGGCAATACTTTAATAGAAAAACTGCCTGTTTGGTCATAGGCCTTTTTTGTGTGTGTGCATAGAGAACTGGGGTACAGGCCAGAGGTGCAGGGGCAGTGAGAGGATTCATCAGAGACAGAGTGGGGAGCCAGAACAGGCAGATCCATGAAGTACACTGCTGAGGGGAGCAGCGGGTGGGTCAGGAGAGGTCTGCCACGCAATGTGGTCACCTCCAGGGTGGGCGGGGTTCAAACTCATGCTGACGTGGCTTTAGCTGCCCCCCCAGGCCTTTTATCACAAATATTTATGTCATATGTTTATTAATTTTGAAATGTTGGCCTTGTGCTGTAAAGAAACTGCTATATATGGGTATATATATGAAGTCCAAGTGAAATCACTGAGATTGTGAAAGAATAGAGTCCTGAAGGAACTCAGGGACAGAGCTGTGTTTGTCTGGGTAGAGATTTGAGGAAGGCTTCAAAGAGCATATTTGAACTGAGAAATGAATTAAAAAATGAATGGGATTTGATGATTGGATAAGGAGGTGGGGGTATGAAGAGCATTCTAAACTAAAAGGACATTGAATGTATAAGGACTGTTTTTGCAGAAATATGATAATCTAAAAAATTGGGCCTCTTGCTTGCCCTGTGAGGTTTGCTCTTTTCCTTCTTCCAATCATTTTACCCTTTACTTCTTTTTTCTGCGTATGATGATCTCTTGAGATTCATTAGAAGAGAGTAACTTTCCTGTACTATATTAATGGGATCCCAGAAGTAAAATATGTTATTTATGACATTGTTAATCAAATTTTCAAATGCACTGCTAAAGGATATCATGGAATGGGTGGTTGGGGTATATTTTTCAGGTTGAAAATATCCTCTTGCATGACCGAGGCCACTATGTCCTGTGTGACTTTGGAAGTGCCACCAACAGATTCCAGAATCCTCAAACTGAAGGAGTCAATGCAGTAGAAGATGAGATTAAGAAGTAAGCTTTTTCTACTTTCTTGGAATTTTGTCCATTATTAGAACAATAACGTCACTTTCAGCTTATGGATGTGATGGTTAGGGTGGGTAAACAGTGGTGCTAGTCTGTTGTCCCTCATTTTAGGGAGCATCATATGGGTTGTTGGATTGTTTTTTTTTTTTAAGATTTATTTGTGCATACAGAACTGGGGTACAGGCCAGAGGCTCAGGGGCAGTGAGAGGCTTCACCAGAGACAGAGTGGGGAGCAGAACAGGCAAATTGACGAGGTACACTGCTGAGGGGAGCAGTGGGCGGGTCAGGAGAGGTCTGCCACGCCATGTGGTCACCTCCGGGGCAGGCGGGAATCGAACTCATGTGGAAGCGGCTTTAGATTCTCAGTGCTATGCTTTAACCCGCTGCGCCACGAGGGAGGACCGATTGTTTGATTTTAAGTGGAGGAAAAGGAGAAGGTTCATGTTATTGATTAGCAGAGTAAAGTAAAAGAATCTTATAGCATGTCAGTAGCCCACTGGTCATTGTAGATAGTTTTGAGTTATGTTATAAAATCCTCAAAAAACTGAGTGGTGTTCACACAGTATTACTGTCATGTTCACAGCCACCATAACGTTATCAGTCAGCTGGTTGTGTCTGTGTGTGTGTTTTAACTGAACCTGGAATTGCTATGTATTCTTTCCAACTCCTAAGGAGTCTAGTGGAATTAATGGTGAGTAATTGAAGTCTGCAGATACTGAATCACTAAATTCCATGAGAAAACACTTCTTTAGATTTGTGATTCTGTGATTTCTCCTTTTGTCCAGAATGTTGGGTTCTGCATGGGTAACAGTATTTACTATTACTGCTCATAAATCAGATCTCCATACATCACCCATGCCATGACTGGGGCAGGAAGACTTATGGTCGATGGGCCCTGATGGATACCTAAAATCTCAGTGCTTTTTAGGCACTTAGAGACACACAGCATTAAGTCACTTGCTGCATAATACCAGGACACTTAAATTTGAAGATATGTTTATACTACTATGTTTTCTGAGCCAGAGGTAAGGGGGAAACTGTTGTTTTATCCCTATTCCAACAGGGAAGATCCACATTATATCCTTTCCAACCAGGACCTACTTTCTCTATTCTCCAGAGTGTCCCAACTGGTATTATATCTCTTTGAGACACACTGAAAGGAATTACTTATTTGAAAAACAGATCAGCAAAATGGTGTCAGACAACAAGGATTACCAAAAATCATTTCATTTGGGTGGGAGGGGTCCAAGAAAGTTGCTTTTAGAGCTTATTTAGAGCCTCACCATTAATTTTGGTTAGAAGGACTGCTGTCTAGGGCACCATGGGTATATACCAAGGACACTTTTCTTTTTATCTGTACTAGTCTTTCATGCTCTTTATGCAGATTTCTCCTAGGGAACTAGATTCTACTAATATATAATTTTAAAGTATTTCTGCTGCCCCTGGTTTTTAATTATAGCATTGACATATATTTAACACAAAATGAATCTCTTGGTTGTAGATACACGACGCTGTCCTATCGAGCACCAGAAATGGTCAACCTGTACAGTGGCAAAATCATCACTACGAAGGCAGACATTTGGGTAGGTGTCAACTAACCTATCCACATCACAAATATCAGCAGTCTTAACTGTAAATTCCCAAGTATAATCCAGACAGTGACATAGCACCATGTCATTATCTGCTTACCCCTCAGTGTTATTTTTGACTCAAGGTGATCAGCCTCTGCTTCTTGAAGCATATCAAGAGATTGCTTTAGAGCTCTGTGGAAATTATTCAGGTGATCTCCACATTACTTAGGTGATTTTCACATGTGTTACTAGTTCTTAACAGCAAAACATCTGAAATTCTTATTATTTATTGGAGTACAGTCTGGTTATAATGGTAAAAATATGTAACTCATTGACTAAATAATAGTGTTGGGTTCTGAATTCAAATTTCTAAAACGTTAGTAGTACAAAGTTTTTATATCTGCTGGTAAATAGATGATGCCAATATCTTTTCATAGACTCCTCTGCAGTCAGTTAAACCTCTATTATCAAATCTGCTTTACCTTTTAGGCTCTTGGATGTTTGTTATATAAACTATGCTACTTCACTTTGCCATTTGGGGAGAGTCAAGTGGCAATTTGTGATGGAAGCTTCACAATTCCTGATAACTCTCGATATTCTCAAGATATGCACTGCCTAATTAGTAAGTATTTCAAGTTTTTCATTTTTTATGTATATTTTATATATATATATATATATACATATATATACATACATCATTCTTCCTTTTTGTATATATCCTTTCTCCTCTCAGGTGTAGTCTGCATAAAATTTCCACCACCAGTTCACCTGTGCACCATCTTACTTCCTCTGTTTTGAGTTCTGTCCCATCCCCTCCTTTGCAGAATGTCTTTGATTTACAGTTGTCTGTTTTTTAATTTATTATATTTTTTGGCCCTGCTTTCTTATTTGGTTCCCCAACATTCCTCCTATAAGTGAAACCATCCAGTATTTTTCTTTTTCTTTCTGGCTTCTTTCACTGAGCGTAATCCCTTCCAGCTCCATCCATGTTGCTGTGAATGACATGAGTTTATATATTTTTTGATAGCTAAGTAATATTCCAGCATATGTACCACATCTTTTTGATCCAGTCATCTATTTTTGGGCATTTGGGTTGTTTCCATATCTTACAAATAGTGCTGCAGTAAACATAGGGGTGCAGGCATCCTTATGAATTAATATTTTTGTGTCCTTTGGGTAAATTCCTAGGAGTGGAATTGCCTGTTTTGTTATGGAATTGTCTGTTTTTCTTGATCTTTTGGATTTTTTTTTAACTTCTATTCTATTTATTTCTGCTTTGATTTTTACTATTTCCTTGCCTCTACTGGCTTTTGGGGTTTTTTTTTGTTGTTGTTCTTTTTCAGTTTTTTAAGATGAGAAATTAGTTTGTTTCTTTGAATTCTTTCTTGTTTCTTGATGTGAGCTTTTATTGTTATATATTTTCCTCTTAAAACTGCTTTTGCTTTGTCCCATATGTTCTGGAGAGTTGTGTCCTCATTGTTCATCTCAAGGTAATTTTTAATTTCTTCTTTGATCATTGATCCAGTAGTCTTCCAGTAGTGTGTATTTCAATCTACATGAGGTAGGAGGGTTCTTTGCTTTCTTTTCATGGTTTATTTCTAGATTGATGCCTTTATGGCCAGAGAAGATAGTTGGTATGATTTTTATCCTAGTGTAGTGTATCTGTTGATGTTTCTCTTGTGTCCCAGTATGTGATCAATCCTGGGGAATGATGTGTGTGTACTTGAGAAAATGTGTACTTGGATATTTTTGGGTGCAGTGTCATAAGTCTTTAGAGCTCTAGTGTCCTTGCTTATTTTTTGTCTCTTTGGTCTATCCATTGGTGAGACAGGTGTGTTGTAGTCTCTTACTACATATGTATTTTCTTTAATGTCTGCTTTCAGAAATGATAATTTATATGTTTTGGTGCTCCTTCATTTGACAAGTACATGTTGATGGAAGTTATGTCTTCTTGATATATTGTCCCCTTAATCATAATGTAGTGACTGCCTATGTCTTTTTTTACCGTTATGTTTTAAGCCTGTTTCATCTTGTATAAGTTTAGTTGTTTCTGCCTTCATTTTGGTCCATTTGCTTGTAGGATGGTTTTCTAACCTTATACTTTCAATGTATCTTTATCTTTTGTCGTTAAATGTGTTTCCTTTAGATAGCAAAAAGATGAGTTTTGTTTTATAATCTGGCCCGTGACTCTGTCTTTATTGATGAGTTTAATCCATTTACATTTAGAATTAATATTGATATACTAGCATCCAATTTTGCCATTTTATTTTCCTTTTTTTTTGATTGTATTCCTCACCTTATTCTGTCCTTTCTATTCATTACTCTGTTGGTTTTGGCTTTAGGGCTTCTTGTAAAATTTTTTGGAGTAGGGGCTTAGCAGTAATGAATTTCTGGAGATTCTTTTTGTCTGAGAAGGGTATTATTTTTCCTTCATGGAGGTAGGAGAACTTTGCAGGGTAGAGTATTCTTGTTTGTTGATTTGGAGTTTGGTAAATATGTCACTCCATTCTCTTCTGCCATGTGGTTTTTCTTCAGAGAAGTCTGATGTCAGCCTGATTGGTTTTCCTTTATAAGTTATCTGTTTCTTCCCCCTCATTAGTTTCATTATATTTTCCTTGTCTTATACCCTTGGAAACTCTACTGTTATGTGGCTTGCTGTAGTTTTCTTTCCACTGTGGTAATTTGGTGTTCTTTTATTTTTCTGTATGTCTGTTTTCATTTCTTTCTTCTTGCTTGGGAAGTTCTCTTCAGTATTCTCCTTGAATAGTTTCTTGGTTCCTTTGTCTCTCACCTCACCTTCTGGGATTCCTGTAGTTCTTATATTTCCTTTCCTTATGGTGTCAGATAGTTCTCAAAGTGTTTCTTCATTCATTTTCCTTTGTACTTCTCTTTCCTTTTCCTTTTTTTTTTTTATGTCTGTATCTTTGAGAGTAGTGATTTGTTCTTCTATTTCTTCTATTTTCATGGCTTCTCCCAGAATTCTTGAGCTCCTCCACTAATCCCTGGGTGTCTTCCAATTCCTTCGCTTTCTTCTTTAGGGATTCCTTTTTGTTCCTCAGTTCGTTGACTATTCTTGCCTCTTTCTGCATTTTCTCTTAATTCTTTGTTTCCACTATGGCCTTTTTGAATTCTTTATCTGTTAGATGGAAATATTCTTATGCATCCATCTTATTGGGTTCTGGAGGTTAACTTTTTTTCTGTGGAGTATTATTTCCAGAAAAGCCTGCTTGATCATTTGTAATTTTCTCTCTTCCTATTGTTAGCCTTTGGCTTTGTTCTGTTTGTAGTGCCCATGCACTGCTCAGTTTCATTTTTTAATTCTAATTCCTCAGAATTAATTGGAGGATAAAGTGTTGTGCTAAAAGATAAATCAGGTGCTAATGGTTTGTCACCCAAAGATAGTACAACAGTGTCAAATCCGAAAGGTGGGTCTTTTTGTCGGAAATCTAAGCTCGGTTTTATAACTGAGCATAAATCCTAATTGTGCCTTGAGCAGTTTAGTGCTACTCTGTTCTCTTGCAGTCTTTTTGAAAGCTTGCAGACCAGAGGAGTCCAGCTGACTCATATCAAGTGATAACAAATTCATCTTTGCAAAACTGGAAGCAACTCAAATTAAAGTGATTGCAGTGCGTTGGCTGGAGTGAATACATAATTAAGACTATGTAACTCTCTGGAAGTAGGTTTTTCCTCTCATTTAGGTTAATCACTGGATTTTGATAACAAGCATTTAAACTCAGTGCTTTGTTTAAAATGTTTTTTTGAGATTCTGCATGCTTTTGTATCATCACAGCAAACATATGTACTAATGTTCACTAACCAGATGGTAGAATAAGTCATCTTTGCACAACCTTCTGTATTAAAATCTTAAAGATACAGATATTTTGATCATCTTTTTACATTGGTCAAAATATTTAGCATCTAAACTTTAACCATTAGGGGTAATAAATCTTGAGCAACCCAGTTTGGGTTTTGTGTGGTGAGCACTAGAGAAAATAGAACCAGTTGACATGAAGTGGATTATCTGACTTTTATTGATGAGCTACTTGTACCTCATTTATTTCTTAAAACTCTCTTCATAGTATTGTCCAAATGGGGCATTGAGGTAAAGAAAGTACAGCTATTTTACCCTCAAGTAAACATAGATCTTGTAAGTGGAAGGGTATATAGACATCAGTCTCTTGCATTTATTAATAAAAAGGAATGGATTACGGCATTTAATGATGATTGGATCATTTTCAGAGGTCAAGCATTGTATCTCTTCTAGAATTGTAGCTGTGTAGTTAGCTTGGCAAAAAAATATATATATATAGAAAAATTGCTGAATTTGATGTTAGAATGATAGGCTTTTAGGTAATTTCTTTTTTCCTTTTAACATTCATGTAGCAAATTCATATTAGAAAAACAACTTGTGGGGAATGTGTATTACACAGACATCTTCCCTAAACTATTTCTATTTCAGTTTGAAAACTTGAGAAGTCCACTGTCCCCCTAAACTCAAAGGTCTAAATTTGTATTTATTAGCATTGCCTTTCCTAGCCCTTTACTTCTAATAAAAGGTTTCCCTCTCCTTTTAGTTTCTATAAATGGTGTCATTCAAGTCTGGATAACTGAAAGTTAAGGTTTTCTATGTATCTGTTTTGCAAGAGAGAAGAGTCAGTTATTTCCTGACTGGTTTAATTCTTACTTTGGAGTTTCTCCTGTTTTTATTATATTCTCTTCAGTCATATCACTGCCCCTCAGTTCATGTCTGTCCTGGTGAATTGGCCACCTCTTCAATCTTTCCAGCACCCCATTACCACAAGACAAATCTTATAAAATGCCATCCTATCATGTCCCTGTTCATTATACCCCAGGACCAAATTCTTAACACTGTACTTAAAATCCTTCATATTCTGGATCCATCCACCCATTAAGCTTTACTACCCTGTATCCTCTGACAAGGAAACCCCTGCCCTGTCCATTGGCTTCTGTGATTCCCTGCAGCAAATCATTTCCCTGCCTTTCTTCCGGTCCATTTTTGCTCAGGCTGTTCTCTCAACTGGTAGATCGTTTTCTTTGTATTCAACTAACTAAATTCATTCCTGACTTTAAGGAAGGACCAGCTCAAGCCTGCCTATCATGCAAGACCTTTGCAAGATTGCAGCTTCATCATTTTTTCCCCTGAATTTAGTGTCCCAACCATTCATTTGATTTCTTGAACAGTGAATTGACTTGCATTGTTGCTTATACAGTTGTGTGTGTTTGTGTGTCTTCTCAGAGACTTTTTTCTTGAGGCTTTTTCCAGCTTCAAATGGTAGACGCTTAGTATACCTGCAGCCAAAGAATAATAAGTTATTAAATTTAACTTTTGATTGTAATTATCAAGAATGATTTTTGGTTTAACAAGATACAATGAACTAAGGAAGCCAGAGGCCAGACAATGTGATGTCCTAGTTATCAGATTATAAAGATGGTGATTTTCTTATTGAGAGCTTGAGTCTCTGTTTTTCAAGACACAAAATGTGAACTACAAGTGTCTGTGTTAATAACACTTTGTTATTTCCTGATGGATATTAAATATATTAAGAAAGTTAGATGGGAGGAAAGGGGCTAATGCATTTTCTGACTTTTATGGGAAGTTAAAAATTATAAAACAAGACAGTTTTGGTAATAGAAAAATTGTGATTCCTAGTTAATGTAATAACTGTTAGGTTACCCTTAAATAAATGCACATATGTTTGCCTTAGGGTATATGTTGGAACCAGACCCTGACAAAAGGCCGGATATTTACCAGGTCTCCTACTTCTCATTTAAACTACTCAAGAAAGAATGCCCTATTCCAAATGTACAGGTATGTGCAAGGTGCCTTTTAAGGGAAGTAAACATCAAATTGTTGTTTAGAATTTCTGAAGGTCTTAGTCAGCTGTTTAATATATAACTTTACTTTTTCTAGGAGGAAAAGTAGTTGCTATAAGTAGAATCCATTTTTCTCATAGAATTTAATTTAATAAAAAGGAAAAAAATTCTTAGAGATTGGTTTTAACAATTTGGGTGAAGGTTGACTAACCTTTTGTTTGGTCAGTAGTTTACTTAGAAGCCTGTTGTATTTACCTAGAGGTGGTTAGACAGGTTGTTTTCCTAGGCAAGACCCTGACTTGCCCCCTTGCCTGTTGGAACATAATTCCTATGTCCCTTTTGAAGGAGACTTCATTATATCAGAGCCTTCTCGATTTTGTTTCTGCTGTTGGCCTCCTATAACTCATGTTCCGTTTCATCTTGCCTCCCCACATTTATTAGGCTATAGGAACGCTTTCTACACTTAGTAATCCTAAAGTCTACACTCAGCAGTTTTCAGAGTACACTTGCAAACACCCCTTTTATAGTTTGACATGTTTTTCATGTCTTAGCATAATTCAACTTTTGAATATTTGACTATGAATGCCTTAGTAAATAGTAAATGCCTATCTGAAATATTCTTCCTAGTTTCTCCAGTAATGTACTTTTAGGTCACTATTGGGGCTTCAGGTGCTGAAATTCAGTGAACTCCTGTTTCCCTGCTACATTTAAAATTAGATGTGGGCATCGTTCAGATGGAGCTCAGAATAACAGCTACTGGAATTGAGTGGGAGAACATAGCTTGACTAGTCAGGCAACCAGATATTAGATCCATGTGACTGAACAGTAAGTTACTGATTCCTGATAGATAGGCTCTTGCCCATAGGATGGAGGGCAAGGGTCAGCCAGAGGAGATTTTCTGTTTTCTCCCAGTCTTATCAAATAATTTTCCCCCTCTCTCTTAGGAGAGAAATGCCTGAAGGATGGAACAAAAGCTATACAATTTTCTAGTAGAAGTTCACCATCCCCAAAACATGAGGGAAATGGGAGTTTTTAAAAACTAATAGTCCATTTGTCAGGTTTCCCAGATTAAAAAGAAGAATATTGTGCAGTAACCTAACATGATCATGTTTCTTTTTGCTGCCCCACTTTGCCATTCATCAATTCATGCATGAAATACAATTGGAAACATTCAGGTTGATAACTAGTTTTTCAAAATAAGCCTTTCCAAGTCTCATCTCATTTGGTACTCTCTGAGTGACAGTAAGAGTTCTCTAGTGGTCAGGGGCAGCTTATGTTCCTTCATGAAACATTAATTGGATGGTGTAGGTCCAAGCTGAAGGAGAACTGGTTGGCCAGTGGTTGGGAAGAGGTGCTGGCTTGGAGACCAAATACGCAGTGCTTGTGGTTTTCTCCTAACATTCCAACTAGGAGACTGAACATATGCTGGTTTGGCACAGTAGTCAACTCTGAAGTCTCTAAGATCACAGAGCTTAATAGCATCATCGGTTACAGACCTCTCTTTCCCATTTCTACCATACATCCTTAGTCCTGGCCTATAGGAAGCAAAGAACACTGAGATCAAGCCCCAGTGACCTCAGCTGGGTGCAGACAGGAACTTGAGAATGACAGGAATGAGTATGCCATAGGCAGGCTTCTCTGACCTCCTCTCAGATACTTTGCCTCCCAGAATGTGGCTGAGTCTGAGTGGGATATGCTTTTAGTTAACTTTCCTTCCCAGAGATCAGGGCCTGGAACCTTTACAGAGTACTCTAATATGTATTTTCATCAACTCGGTCACGGTAATTGTTCTTTAACAAAGAAATCTGTGGTATCCCTTTTTAACATTTCCTTTCAATTTCATAGAACTCTCCCATTCCTGTGAAGCTTCCTGAACCAGTGAAAGCCAGTGAGGCAGCTGCAAAAAAGACACAGCCAAAGGCCAGGTAAGAAATGCCCTAGTGAGCACACGTCCTGCTCTAGGTGCTGCAGTAGTGCTGGGCTGGTGTCTTGAGTTTCTAGATTCTTATGTTGCCACACCAGAGGCTGCACAGAAAAGGAAAGCTGTTCTTTGGGAGTATAAGAAAGAATATAATGAAATACTGTGATCTACATTTGAAAGAGAACCAAAAACTCCACAGCTGTTTCCTTAGCTTTGGAATAGGCACAGAAGCATTCAGCGAGGAGGCAATAGCAGACTTTAAATATTGCTGTTACAGTTGTGTCCTAAACATTTGTCTTGATCTTTGTTTAGCTACATTCAGCACCCTCTTTTTATGACTTTGAGCACAGGAAAGGTCAAAGCACTGAGTTCATAAATAACTAAAGTTCATAAATAAAATACTCCTGATGTGGATCTTAACAAGTCACCTTCTGTATAAAGTAGGGTCACCCAAGTAACAGATGCCAAGATGCTTTTACTTGGGAAATACCCCTGTGATAGAAAATGAGGATGCCTAGGGAAGTTGGGAGAACCATCAAAAGGCGAGTAAGTCTCTGACACAGAGGAAGGTTGGGTGGAGAAGGTTCAGTAGAAGTGACCTAGAAACTGCCACACAATTTAGGGAAGGTTCCTTAAAGGTGTCAGGGTGCCCTGGAGCCGGAGTCTACCACCAAAGAAGTCTGTCTCCTGGGAGCAGCTTACGGGAAGCATGGCACTAGGGTTTTGGGAGCATAGCAGATAGGGAACTTGATCTTTCATACCACTTGTAGATGAAGATCTGCAGGACACATCCTCACAACTGCCATGCCTTCCAAGTGAGTAATTCTGAGAGTAGTCCAGGTCTAGTTTATAACCCTCTTTTAGTACCACACTTCCATGTCAAGGAAATATTAGCAGCAAATTATATCAACACAGTACCCCAGATGGTTATATGAATTTTAATAGAATGGTAAAATAACTTCTATATTTAAAAAAATTCTTGACTGTAAAATGACTGTTATGCATAGAGTTATTCCAGATGTGGTTTGAAAGTAAGACTTTAGTTTTAACAAATTTAGCAAACTGTAACCATGTTGTTACTGTGTGGTCTCTTGAATTCTTAAGTTGACAATGCTCACCTTTGGGAACTGGTTTGGAGGGGAGATGATTTAATTAACTTAGTCTTTTGGGTTTGCGGGCATATTGTATGAGGCCCAGACAGCGTATGTACACAGACTAAACAAGTGTCCCTTTCTTCGCTCCCACAAAGCATACACACTTATAAAAATATAAACAAGGGCTAACATTCGAGTGATAGTCTGTTATGTAACATGAAGTAAATAATCACTATATCATAAAGCAAATGAGAACTTCAAATGTGTCAATGAATTTGAAACAGCATTATAAGCTGTAGAGTGCTGAAAGTGTTCATTTGCGTGATCAGTAATGCAGAGAGAAAATGCAGACCTTATAGCTGAAATTTATTGTCCTAAATTGTCTGATCTTAGTACAGTATTTCATTTGTGCTATCACATTTGCTTCCTGGTGCTGAGAGATGGGTTTTTCTTTAACTCTATTTTCAAAATAGACACTATTCATTGAGGTATCATATATACAAGGTATTTTATATAAATAAGATGACTTTCTCCCCTTCTGACAAAACCAATAAGGTTATTATTCTCATTTTATAGACGAGGAAACATTCAGAATTGTAAGTTGCCCAAGCTAGTTAGTGGATATGTGGCTAGTAAAAGAAACTGAACCCGAGTGTCCACTCTGTTTTCTGTACATTAAGTGATTTATCCAAGATCACATAGACTGACAGCTTAAAGCTGGATCTCCTAACTTCCAGGGCTGCATTTTCTTACAGCATATTTAGGTCTATACATTTTGAGCAGTCTAAAATGGTTTTACAGTGATTTGCATTTTGACATTCACATTTGCCTGACAGTGTGGGCATTATTTTCCCTACTTTATACACAAGGGACTCAAGGCTAAAATAGGTTAAACAATACACCTATTATGGCCTGCTTAGTAGGGAGCCATAGCTCAGTGACTCCAAATGCTCTTGTTTCTAAGGTGTGTTACCCTCAGGAGAAGACCAATGTGGAAATTTTTAGCATTTGGTTTTCCACAGAAGTCTGTTCATCTCCCTCACTTTCAGTTTTATCTTCCTTAATACCTATCTCCTTTTCCCCAGCATTGTCCAATTTTTCTTTCCCACTTCCCCTCACCAAATGTGGTAAATTTAATGTTATTTGTTCTCCACCCAGCACAAGAGGGTGTGTCTCATAGAACACCAGTGAAAAGCCTCAGTGTTCAGAATTACCTTGGAGGTGGGCCCTCCCTGGTGGCACAATGGGTTAGGACGCAGCACTGCAAGCTAGCTGCAGCTGCTTCAGTGCAAGTTCTGCTCTACAGGACTGAAGTTACCATCTGGACTTTTGCACTATCAGAGAGAAAGCTGATCACACAGCAGTGCTCCCTGTGTTGATTTGAACTAGATTTGGCTGTAAATGATAAAGTCCAAAATGACAGTGGCTTATTAAAATAGGTTATTTTTTTTCCCCTTGTAAGTAAACAAGTCTCATGGTAAGTAGTCCAGGTGGATATGGTGCCCTCAGGTGCCCAGGCTTCTTCAAGTTAACTATTCTACTACCTTAGTCTTATGCACCAAGATGGCAACATCCCTACTCCTAAAAGCAGGTTAAAGGGTTAAAGAATAGTCACAGAAAAAGAGAGACAAAGGGCATACACATCTATTTCTCAGGATTTCTTCAAAATTATCTGCTTAGCCTCTGTATGAGACTGGAACACAGATACATGGTTAACCTGAAGACGAGGGACTGGGCAATGTGATTCTTGTGCTAGGTGTGTATGTATGTAAAAAAATGTCAGTTGAAGGACTTGGAGCTCCTGTCATAATCCCCAAAACTTTTACTTTAATTATTTAATTATGCCTTTTAGTTGCTTTATTGGTTTCACTCATTAAAACACTTTTTAATGTGGAGAGGTTATTTTGAGAGTTCTAACCAGGTTTGAGTTCTTTCTTTTTTATAGCAGTTTATTTTTACATCATTTTGTACATTTTTTTTTCCATCTCAATTGTAATCCCCGCGGGTTTCCCATCACCAAGTCACCCGTGTGCCATCACCATAATCCGGTGCACTTCCCTCCCCACCCCCCCACCTCCCCGTTTTTGATCCTATTCCCCACTCCACCCCCGCAAAATGACTCTGGTATATGGTTGTTCATTATTTTTGTTATTTTCTTGCCTGGTCCATTATACTCCTGCTATGAGTGAAACCATCCAGTATTTTTCTTTCTCTTTCTGGCTTATCTCACTAAGCATGATCTTTTCCAGCTCCATCCAAGTTGCTGCAAAAGACATGTGTTTCTCTTTTTTGGTTGCTGAGTAATATTCCATTGTATATATGTACCACATCTTTTTTATCCAGGCATCTACTTTTGGGCATTTGGGCTGCTTCCATGTTTTTCCAATTGTAAATAAAGCAGCAATAAACATGGGGGTGCAGGTATTATTTTCAATCACTGTTTTTGTGTCTTTTGGGTAGATACCTAGGAGTGGGACTGCTGGGTCATAGGGAAGCTCCATGTTTAGCAGTTTGAGGAACCTCCAAACAGTTTTCCATAGTGGTTGTACTAGTTTGCATTCCCACCAGCAGTGCAGGAGAGTTGCTTTTTCTCCACATCCTTACCAACATTTGTTGTTGCTAGTTGTTTGAAGATGTGCCATTCTCACTGGGGTGAGGTGGTATCTCATTGTGGTTTTAATTTGCATCTCCCTTATTACGAGTGATGTTAAACATTTTTTCATATGCTTGTTGGCCATCTGCATTTCCTCTTTGGAGAAGTGTCTTTTTAGCTCTTCTGCCCATTTTTGGATGGGGTTGTTTACTTTTGTTGAGTTTCATCAGTTCCAGGTTTGAGTTCTTTCTATATCTGCACACCACCTGCTCCAAATCCCTCTTTGCATCATCACCCACAATGTATTCTGGGAAATCCTAGGAGGTATTAGGTAAAAGGATTCCAAGATGAAATAAGCTTGATATAACTGAAAAATAAGTTTGAGAAACACTGCATTCTATATAGTACTTAATTTGAGCTTCTCCATACATATTCACACATGCAAAGACATCTCAAATATTGTGCTCAGTATATTTTGCTTAGTAGGTTGACACTTTTTTGCCCACACAATCTTTATCTGTAAAAGCAATTAATCCATAATATACTGTGGGACACCTTCTGGGAAATATCAGTGAAGTAGATGTAGAAGGCTTGGATGAATGTGGAAGAGAATGCTAATCCAACATGTACTCTATCTACTCCTCTCCTGTTTTCCCAGATGTTAACATGAATCTTTACTTTTTTAAAATTCCTTTTCTAGACTGACAGATCCCATTCCCACCACAGAGACTTCAATTGCACCCCGTCAGAGGCCTAAAGCTGGGCAGACTCAGCCGAACCCAGGAATCCTTCCTATCCAGCCAGCCCTTACACCTCGAAAGAGGGCCACAGTTCAACCTCCCCCTCAGGCTGCAGGTCAGTTAACTAGATTGGTTCAAAACTTGTTATACCTCTTTGTTATCCTGGATAATAGCGAAGTCAGGGAAAATCTGGTTTTACTCCAGGAATGAAATTTAGCATCACATAAAGAGGGTCTCCCTATAGTGGGGCTGCCATTGTAGTTGTATGGCCAGAGTCTGGGGGGGCCTGTGGGGAGAGCTTGGTTATTGTGGGGGGATGGCTCATTGATATCTGTGAGTTATTTCAAGACTGCTGGTGTCTGTTGTTTTTGTTGCTAGACTTGGCCCTGATTTTGTGGATGAGTACATGAACCCATACCTACCTCTTTACTTTATATACTTATCTTTTTCTTTAAAGAAGAAAGACCCATCTCTTTTTGTCAAAGGGGAGTTGCTTCTTAAATGTTCTGTCTCCTAAAGTATCTGTCACCTTTCTGTATTTGGTATTTGTTTCCAATGAGGTGATACTTAGATACTCAGGCTGCTGATTAAAGGCATAATTGACTAATAGGATGGTGAATAAGGGAAGGCTTTATGAATGAAGCAACTACTAAACCTTGTCATGGAACTTTTTTTGAACTCTCTGTATAAGCACATAATTTAGGATGAAGCAGAAAGGACCTTCCAGGTACAAAGGCAGTGAGAACCTCATGGGTGTTGGAATTATCTGCTCATTTATTGTTACTGGAATAGACTTGGGTTCTGCTTCCTATACTACCAAAACATCAATAAGCAGAGACAGGAATTGAATCTATAAGCACTTTTATTTTTCAGATTTCTGGCCATTGATATGCAAGAACAGTGGGCATTGCACCTTGAAGAAACCATTCTGCCATCTCACCTTGAGCTGTCCTTTTTATGAGTTAAAAAGATAGTTACTCATAAGCAACCAGCCCATTAGAACAGCCCATCGTAGCTGATGTTTCTGGTATTCACATTCAGACCCCAGAACTTGTTACCAGCCTCCCATTTATCTTGACCCTGGCACATCTGATGGCTTCAGTGTCCAGGATTCCTTTGGACATCATCAGAGCAGGAATCGCAGTTCAAAGCAAGAATTTTAGTGTAAAGAAAACAGATCATTAGTTATATAGTGTGTACATGTAGCCTATGCTATGTGTATATATGCAGATTCATATACGAGGTGTGATGCCTTTCCCTTCCTCCCTAGCCCCTTATCATTATCACTCCCTTTTTATTGCTTTGGCAAGAAAGAAAGATGTTTTGTCTGGAAAAGTTTCGAGCTGTTGAATGAAGTTTATTCTCATTGCAGGATCTAGCAATCAGCCTGGCCTTTTAGCCAGTCACCCCCAACCCAAAACCCAGCCCCCATCTGGACAGCCTCAACCCAAGCAGCCACAGGCTCCACCTCCCTCTCAGCAGACACCTTCCACTCCTGCTCAAGGTGTGCCCACTCAGGCCCAGGCCACACCCCAGCACCAGCAGCAACTCTTCCTCAAGCAGCAGCAGCCACAGCAGCAGCCATCACAGCAGCAGCCATCACAGCAGCCACAACAGCAATCACAGCAACCACCCCAGCAGCCAGTGAGCACGTATTACCAGCAACAGCAGCAGCAGCAGCAGCAGCAGCAGCAGCAGCAGCAGCAGCAGCAGCAGCAGCAGCAGCTGCCTCAGCAGCCCCAGTCTCAGCAGGTAAGGTCTGCTTTGCATAGTGAAAAGCCTACTAGGTACAGCTGTCTTCCTTGGGAAGCGCTGAGAATACAGAGAGCCATTGATTGAGCACCACACATGGTTTCTCACAGATGTAGATAAGGAAGCTTTGAATAGGAGTGCAGTCTCTGGCTCACTGAAACCCCTTTCACATTTCTTGTCAATTAGTAGAACTGTTTACATGACTGAGGAACTTCAGGGAAGGAGATGTATTTTATGGACTTTTTCCTCCCTCACACAACTGTAGCACCATTATGCCAAAACAAAATTATAGTAATTATTTATTAAGTATACTGTAGGTTTAGTTCGTTCTATTGTCTTAGAATTTAAGTTGGCTTATTTAATGAGAATCCAAACAAGGTCCATCTGCGTATTTAGTTGTGGTATGTCTTTTTTCTTTCATCATTTTTCAGCTTTTCTTATTAGGAATGTAATCATTTTATAATGATTGACTCACCTATTAAGTTCTAATATCTATAGGTACCTTCTCTCTATTTTTTCTATCCCCTTTTGTCAGTTTTTAAAACTGACAAAGTTTTAAGTGACTGGCTCATTTGTCCTCTAGAATTTTCCACATTCTGGACTTGGCTGAATAGATGTCATTTAATATGTTCCTTCATTCTGTGTATAAATAGGTGATTTCTTGAGGCTTACTCAATATTCAGTTTGATAGTGCTTTGTTATTCCAGTTGTATCACAGTTGTATAACATACAATAGCTGTTTGTCCTCTCTTTTATTAATATTAACATCAATCAGTGGGTTAGGCATTATCTGTCTTATCCATTCATTTAATATTCCCTGTCAGCTTAGCAGCCAGTGTTTATCATTAATTCATTAGGCGTGGCAAAGTGGTGATATTCTAGTGATGTAGTTTTTGGAGTTGGTGGGTTTAGAGTGTGGGATCCTTGGGTTCACTCTGGGAAAGGTTTCACTAGAGCTCCCCTTTCATTGGCACACAGTGAATTTCCCAGGCGAATTTCTCCATGAAACAGATATGTTACTTATATTTAAAGAGCAGGTTTATTTGGGAAAGGGGACAGGAAATAAAGGACAATTGTGTAGACACAAGTGGGCAGAAAGAGCTGCCCCGAAAAGGACATATTTGCTAAGAGAAAGGCCTGTTTGGTTGCAACCTGGCAGCCTTGAGGAGAGCTTCCTCTGCTGAAGGAGGTCATAAAGAGAAGCCCTTGCAGTTCAGGAAGACTGATGCCCTGCAGAGGAAGAGAGTTGGTGAAAAGAAGTATCTGCATACTCACAGATAGGCAGCGCAGAGATTGCACTGACAAGATACTTCTTCTCTTTGGGAGGGGCTCACTGCCTCATGGAGTGGCTTGTTTGTTTTTGATTTTGAATAAAATGTAGAATTTGAAAGGGGCCAGAGAGTCTACAACGGGTCCATATTTTTACCTTCAGGTCTAACTTCCTGACAGTACCTACAGCAGTCTAATACCTGCTTGGATCTTGGGCTTTGTATTCTGGGTATTGCTGCCTAAGGATCTTAGTTCAAATCCTTTCTACCCCTACCTTCAGCTCTTAGCATTGTGCGAGCCACGTTTCTGGTCTTACGGCTCCTCTCCTTTCTAGTGTCTCTATTCTTATCCTCCATCATACTTCACTAGGGCTAGAAATTTTCTATGAAGAACTTTTCTCATCAACTATTTGGAAACCTTGAGGAACTGTACAGAACAGATAGGAAAAATGCATGATTCTTTCCCTTTGTTTATCAACTTTCAAAATAAATACTGGTTCCTAGTATTATCCAAAGGTGACCTATAATAAAGATTTTGGTTTTTTATTATTATGAACTCTTGAATTTTACCACATTTGATATATTTCCAGACATTATAGTTTTTAAAAAATTGTTTTGATGTTTAAATTGTCCCAATTTTTACTGGGGAAGTCTCTTCAGTTTGCTCCTAACTCTTTTGACTGTGACTCAGTTGTCTTTAATGGTTTTCTACTATTTAACAGCTGTTTCATACATAGTCTGCCCTTAACCTGAAATCAGACATTTTTGTAAGGAACTCTGTTTCCTGTTATTGGAAATGGAACGTAGAGATTATAATTTTGATGTTTGAATACTCATTTCCAAGTACACTTATTATTTTTAGGTCTTTTAAGTGAGTAGTTAGGAAATACATTTTGTTACTGTATAATCCCACACATTCAAATTTAAAATGAGATGTGTAATTACAAGAGCTTTGACTAACTTCTTGGATTTTATATTTGTATTTTTATCAGCTGAAAATTGTGATTCCTAACAGCAGTGATATACTTACTTAATTAATTTATAGTTTCAAGATAACAGTACCAATATGGTTATTATAAACATTTCAAGATGTGTTTGCTGTTTTTTACTCTTAGGATATTCAGCACAGTTTTTTGTTTTGTTTTGTTTTGTTTTGTTTTGTTTTGTTTTTCCTTTATGGATTTTGGCTGCCTCTTTAATACACAGGTTTATTTGCTTTGGGTTGTTTTTTAATTTTGTTTTGTGAAAATATAAAAGATTTACATAGTTCAAAATTAAATCTGCAGAATTCTTAACCCCTGTATCCTATGTGTAGAGGTATCCCTCATTCCTGTTTACAACATGTGAGTTCCTTTTTTCATATATATATGAAATATGTATATATCTGTGCCATATATATATGGTACTATATAATCTATATCAGTTTATAATATAGTTTTTATATATATTATATACTTATATAATACATAATATAGTTTATGTTACATATTTATATATGTTACATATATATATAAATACAGTATTTATTCAGTCAGTCCCTTATTTATAGATATTTGTTTCTAGAACTTCGCTGTTGTAGGGAACTGTTTATTGACATTCTTCTTTACTAACCCTTTAACTTTGCACCTTTAAGCAAACAACATCTTCTCAGTTAATACTGTAACAGTATTTAGGATTTTTTTTAAAAAAAGATTATTTATATATACAAGAACTGGGATATGAGCCAGAGTTGTGGGGATTCACTAGAGACAGTGGGTAGCAGAACAGGCAGATCAACTGAAATACACTGCTGAGAGGAGCAGCAGGTGAAACAACAGAGGTCTGTTGTGGCATGTGGGTAGTGAACTTGTGCTGCAGTGGCTGCAAATAGCTTTATAGTGATGACATAGAAGAGTATCTCTATTTTCAAGAAATTATAAAAAATATATCTTGAAATAATCAGTTACCAATAGAAAGTAAAATATCATTTAGTATGATAGAATATACTGAATATTTTGAGTATTTAAAGATGGGAGTCTTTAGGAAAGAAGATAGAGTTATTGGAAGCCAATATCATCCTTAGTGGTGAAAAGCTGAAAGCCTTCCCCCTAAGGTCTGGAACAAGAGAAGATGTCCACTCTCACCACTGCTTTTCAATATAATATTGGAAGTCCTAACCAGAGTAATTGGACAAGAGGAAGACATGCAAGGAATCCATACAGGGAAAGAAGAAGTAAAACTATTACTGTTCGCAGATGATATGATAATATATATATGGAGAACCCCAAAAATTCCACAGAAAAACTAATCAACTGGTTCAGTAAAGTAGCAGAATACAAAATCAACACACAAAAATCAGCACCTTTTCTATATGCAAATAATAAATATGAAGAAGATCTCAAGAAAACCATCTCTTTTATAATTGAATAAAAAAAAATCAAATACTTGGGAATGAACCTAACAAAGAGATGTTAAGGACCTATACAAAGGAAATTATAAAACATTGTTAAAAAAAAAAATAGAAGACACGAAGAAATGGAAAGATATCCCTGTTGATGGGTTGGAAGAATTTACATTATTAAAATGACCATCCGGCCCTCCCTGGTGGCTCAGTGGGTTAAAGCACAGCACTGAGAAGCTGATATCCCTGTTGATGGGTTGGAAGAATTTACTTATTAAAATGACCATCTGGCCCTC